AGGCTCGTGTTAAGTGTATAAATTCATCAAAGAATCATCCCATACAGCTCAATACTTCCTCAAACATTACAACTTACAAGCTGTAAACAATGGCTTCACTGAAACTTAAGTATTTGATAATCTTATGTCTCACCATCTCAACGTTATTCAGCAATTATGAATGTAAGTGGACATGCATGGTTGCTATCTATTTTTCCCTTTTATTTCTTCCTCTTAGGCTGGTATATAAATAGTTATATTATTATATATATAGACTTATGTGGTGCACTTAACGTCTCAATTTATGCATGTTCCATGTATTACTAATTTATTTGCGGTGAAGTACTCTGTATATATATGATTTAACAAAATTTTAAATGTGATCAAATACGAACTATGAAGTCTAGATCTGTGTTGCACTTTCTGCCGGTGGTAGAAAGTTTTGGTTCATTTACCAAATTATCATTGCTTATTTGATCGAATCCAATGTCATTGTTGACATGTTTGGACCTAGCTAAGTCTTAAAAAGTTCAATTGCCCAACTTCATAGGACATAAATTAATTTAAGCGCAACCATTCCAATTTCTCACGGAAGGCATGCTATTTATTACAATCGGACCCTATGATGTGTGAGTTGAATTTTGAATTGTTCAAATATAAAGTGCTCTATATTTGAAAATAAGAGTTAATTTTAACCATAAAATGTACGGAAGGCATACGTAGGTACGGTTATATAAAATGCGAATGAATAAAATCGACAGATAACAATTATACGTACTATATATGGAATCTACTTATACACAGTGACGGACCCAGAAAGTCGGAGTCACGAAGTCCCTACCCTTTTATATTTTTAATCTCTAATTAATATACAACTAATTAAAAAAAATTAAAGTAGCATAACACTTCATAGATAACGTACACCATCAAAACATTAAGATATTATAAAGCAAAAAATTACATATAAAAATCATTCAACAATTTTACAGATGTACCCTCCTAGGCTTCATTTGTTGGAAATACTACGTATACTATAATAGAATCATCACTAATAGTACCAAAAACATCTTTCTCAACATATGTAGCCACGTAGGTGTAAAGGTTTGGGGGAATCGATCGAGTACTCTGCCTCTGCGTTTAAGGATTGGCAGCTATTAAAAAAGGCCAAAACGACGTAGTTTTGGTCTATTTAATTAAAATAGTTTTGGAAAACAAAAAAAGAGCCCAGCTGAGTCGAACTTGCTACCTCCCACTCAACAGAAACCTTAAATCCAGCACATCTCCCGTTCCCACTTCCCCTCATCCATTCTCTTGGTTCTTAAATCGTTTTTTGTTTAAATATTCATTTAATAATTTATTTTATATAATATACCTAATACTCCCTCCGGTTCTTTTTAAACTTCAGTGTTTGACTTCACAGTTATTAAGGAAATAAAGTTGACTTTACTGTAGAGTACACTGTTGAGACACTGTTTGGCACTGTTGAGACACTGTTTGGCACTGTTGAGACACTGTTTGGCACTGTTTAGCACTGTTTAAAACTGTTTTGATGTAAATTTCTTTGCCAAATAAGGAAATAAGGAAGTGTGAAGTTTATTTTGGACCGTCCCGAAAAGGAAAGTGTGAAGTTTATTTAGAACCGGAGGGAGTATATATATAGGTATTTTTTCCGAAGTGCACGGAGTCCCAAGACCCATGGGACCCTTAGTGGGTCCGCCTCTGCTTATACATCAAAGTTCTGGTTTGTCATTAAATGTTACACATTTTTTTTACATGCACTTGTAAAGTCCTCCTTTAAGGCGACAAAGTTCTGGTTTGTCATTAAAAGTTACACATTTAATTTGTTCTCATTTTTTATGTGAATTTTTTTTTTATTTGAATGTTCTAAAGTAGGAGTGAGCAAAAATCCTGAATCAGCATGGTACCGAACCGGATCGATATGGTACTTCACAGAAAAACGAGGTTTGAAACGGATCTCGAATTTTTTGAATCGTACCGTACCGATTCTAAACAATGTTATGACCAGCTCTCATAAATTGAGAACCGGTACCGGAATGAACCGAACTGAAGTACGGTTTAATTTTTTAAATTTACATTTATAGCATAACTTTGACTAACCTCTAGTGTCTCTTCACACTTTCACCGTCTTTGTTGGTTCATATGAAATCTGGAATATATCGGACAAATGTATGGTTTAATTATTTAAATTTGTATTATTATAGTTTATTTGAAATTTATTAATTATGTAGTCATATGACTACTACTTCGTCGCAAATTGATTTGCAAAACTAACTTCCTTTGGTCAAACTGTTCCATTTTATTCACATGATTAGATGACAAAAGAGAATGATGAATCTCACTAATTGAATTTCATGATATTGCACTACAGAAGTTTTGAGGTTTCCCTGTGCACTGTCATGAATCATAAAAACCGTTGCATGCATTTTCTATGTAATTTTAAAAAATCCAAATCAGCACCTTATATGCGTAGTGGCAGTGCACATTTCTAGGTCAAACAATACACTGTACGGGTTGAACTAGTTCGGTACAAAAAATATTTTTGGAAAATATTTTACACAGAATTTTTTATATTAAAAATACAGACATATTTAAATTTTGGGTTGGGCCAGGACCAGGGTTGGCCCTCCCCTAACTAGGGAGCCTACGCCCCTGATAATATTGCACATTTCTAATAGTCTATTGTGACATTTCTATTTTATCCATTTATTGGTAGTTCTTAGTTGTACTTTTTATGGATTTTAACAGGCAAGGTTGCGACGATTGGGAAGATAGTTTTTGATTTTTGTAAAGAAACCACTTGTAATCAAGGTACAATTAAATGTTGGTGTTGCCTTGCTGGAGATTGTTGGGATAATAAAGGAGATTGCGAGACAAAATGCGTCCGAAGGCCGCCGGCAACCTCCGCCCTTGAGCAAAAAATCAATTAGGAGACCTGACATCTGTTGAATGAATTGGAATAGAAGATATGCATGTTAATGATTTATTCAATATACTCCGTAATTGGTTTATTCGTATCACAAAAATAAATACATGATAAATGATAAATTCTTTACAATTGGAAATTGAAATGATAATTGCTTTATAATTACAATTTTGGTTAATTATGATCACATGCATACAGCACAAAAATATCTATTTAAATTACTAGTATCATGTTGCACCAATTGAATGAAGAAGAGATAAATATACCCTAGAACTTTGACCCCGTATGGTGACACTGTTTTTCGGATTATTAGGCTTATCAGCCAACTTTTTTTACCAAACCTGTAAATTTTGATTTTGCGCGCTGAGTTGTGTAATAATAAAAAAAAACAGAAATTGTCCTAATTCGGAGTAAAAACGTTTTGAAATTTTAAAATAGGACTTTCATGTTTTTTATTTCTTGGATAGGAGTAAATTTCTGTCAAGTTTGACATTATAGGCTTTAAACATGGCATTTTTTAAACTTGACATATTACTCATATTCAAGGAAAAAAATCACGATAGTCCTATTTTGGAATTTCAAAACGTTTTTACTTTTATCAAAGGAATTCTCTCTAACAAAAAGTAAGGTTATAGTTACTTTTCTGGTATTGGCTGAAGTTAGTGTGGAGAATCATTTTAGTTATTTCTTCATGTAACTTTTTTCTTTATTTTATTAATAAAATACATTATGTGTATATATATATATATATATATATATATATATATATATATATATATATATATATATAATTTTTTCATAAATCAGCACAATCGGCTACTTCATCAGCTAGAACTTCATAAATTTCAGCAAAAACAGCCAATTCAGCCGATTTCAATGTTACCAAATGGGCTCTTTATCTGTAAGACCCTAGCTATTTATCCTTCACCTTTAAAAAAAAGCTATTTATCTTTCACCACTTTGGAACAATTAAACAAAACAAAAAAGTGAAGTTGGAATAAATATAGTATTCAACTATGAATTTGAATCTTCTCCTAGGAGATATTTAGTGGGAGAGAGATAGAGAGGAGGAAATCTTGAGTGGAGTATATGAATGGGCCGGTAAGAATGTAAGATAGAGAAAAATGTAAAAAGGGACATGAAGATAACCTAAATGGATGAGAGCTGAACCCTTAGAACTATACCTACATTTATTCTAATTTTACAAATTTTTTATGTTTGAATTAGGCCACTTAACGGGTCGGATATGTGAAAATAATGGGAAAGGGTACTCCAATAGGAGTCCTGACAGATATATTTATAATAGAAGAGTTGCCAAAATACAATGTATTCCTAAATAAATATTAGGCATATTCCTAAATATATGTTAGGCAGATTCCTAAATATATATTAGGCTATTACACCCCCTCAAACTGTGCGGGAGATACAACGCGCAGCTTGTCTTTTAAACAATGAAATAGCAAACTAGAAAAATTCTTAGTAAATATATCCCCAAGTGGTAGATTATGAGGCACATATTTGACAATAAGATCTCCATGAGCAAGTAGATAATAGATGTCTGCAGCTGCAAGCGGTGAACTCAACGGTGCGCTGGAAGCAAGCACAGTGGTCAGCGACGCGGATAAGGTGGGCTGCGCGGACGTAGGCAGCATTAGGTGGCGAATTCAACGGCACACTGGAAGCAAGCACCGTGGTTAGCGACGCGAAGAAGGTGATTTGGGTCGTATCAGCCGCACTCATCCTCAAAGGATCGGAGACTACGTCAGTCGACCCCGAGGCGGCGGCTATACTAGGGTTCGTGGGAACCCCAAAAAAACTATATCTAAAAACCTAGAGCTCTTGATACCATGTGAAAATAATGGGAAAGAGTACTCCAATAGGAGTCCTGACAGATATATTTATCTCTACAATCATATAAGAGGGAATCTTGTTGAGGGTTAAACTGTCCTGAAAAATGTGTTGGTGTCTCTGCATGAATAAGCTGATTGTACTTTCTATTCACTTTGTTGTACATTTTTACCTCTTAGCACTTTCAACGTTATGTCCCTGGACGGAGGCAAAGGCTCACATTTTGTTTAGGCTTAAAAAAAATATCGCACAAGGGCTTTTATTTCCGCTTTTTACTTTATTTCATTCGCATCCTCAGAGCCCATTCTACTCATCTCCTTCCGTTTCAACCGCCTGGCATCCTAAGCTCATCCGCAGTAATGGCTTTTGGGCATTTAGGTTTTCCAAGCGTCCTCCGTTGGGTGCTTATAAATACTGTTGTGCGGCTCTTCGGACGATTTTCCGGTTCTGCCTTGTTCTACTCTGGTGAGTTTTTCCTCTGTTCTTTGAATTTGCCTTGTGTGATTAGTCCTCTTTTCTTCGCCTCTCTCTTTCATTGTCCAGCTGCAATTTTCCTCTCTTTCGTTTAATTAGTTCATTGTCCATGGAGGTTTTTGGGAGTCGGTGTTCTTGTTAAATGCCAATTAGTGGCCCTTAGAAAAATTGACGCTTTGAATTTATTTGTCGAAAAAAAATGACATTCACTTTTTACAGTAAATAAATAAATAAATAAAAATTAATGCTACTGCAATTCTGGCTTTTTCTTTTCGTCCTTGGAAAGTTGCTTACTGGGTATAGGTTAAGAAAGGAAAACTATGATGATTGTATTTGAATATTAGGAAAATGTCTAATGTTAAGCTATGTTGTAGAATGTTTTGGTGAATTATTGTAACCATATGGATGTCTAAAATTAGGAGCATAAGACTTTGAGTTTTGTAACTAACTGCATTTAGGATCATACTACGTATTATTGAAAGATATGTTTTTAGATCTGCCAGTTGTCACTATATTCTATATTCAACTATTATATCTACTTTTTTTATTAGAAAATGGATTCGAAAATCTTTTGGATATCTAAATAGGAGAGCAACTACACAAAGCTATAAACACATTTCATGTTAAAATCTTTTGGATATCTAAATAGGAGAGCAACTACACAAAGCTATAAACACATTTCATTTAAAATGCATTTTTAGAGAAATTTATATTCTAGCTCATCTAACCAATGCAGAGTGATAGATTTCTGGATTTTCGCAGAGTTAAATTTTTTAAGGCTTGGCAGATTGTTTGTAGTTTGAGGTCAACGTGTTTCATCTGGGGGTAAGATAATTTCCCACCTTCCATTGTATTTGGGGTGCAAAAGTTGTCTATATTTGCAATCGTTTCAGAATTTATTTTTGAAGTCTAATTTTAGCTATGGAGTATACTTTTAAATAAATTTCTGCCACTGCTGCAGTTTCTTATAGGTAGTAAGGGAAACAGTATGAATTATAAGACTTTCTTTAAAGATATAGTAGCAAGAAGAAAATAAGTAATGTTGTCCCCTAAACATATCTCTACAATATTATAAGAGTGAATATTGTTAGGGGTATAACGGTAATAGAAAAAGTTTTGGTGGTTCTTAATGCACAATGTTATTGTACACCATGTATACTTTCTTGTACATTAACGTTATTAAAATTTCCGTTTTAACGGCACGGTGTTAATCACCCTTTTCCTCTTCGGTTACTTCCCCCCTCATTTCAATCGATATTTTGGTGTTCACTTCATTTATTTCCTTCTCGCCATGCCCTTTCCCATCATCTTCTTAGCCCCAGCATTCAGCTTAGTTACGCTCTCCCATAAATTTATTAGGGGCGGAACCAGGGGGAGTGAGCCGGTGCCGCCGCCCCCCTTCGCCGCAGTTGCTTAAGTATGTATAGGTAGTATCTCCATTAGCGCCTTAGAGACCCGTTTGTTTTTGCTGTTCAAGGTGAAACTTCGCAGAGGTGGGTTGAGAACGACGAAACATCGGAGGTGGCATTTGATGAAAAAATCTAATTTTCCTACCTATTCCAAACAACGTCTTTTGGTTAAATGAAAAATATATAATATATTAATAATAGTATATTCTCCGTGCTAAATACTTCGAGTAAGTACTCCGTATGTAAAAGTCGGGAATCAGAACCGATTTGTTGGGAGAGTAAACTCACGGATGCCAGAAGGTCTGTTCGATTGGCGTCTTGAAGATTTCAGATTTGGGGATTTGGCTCTTGGGTTTTTTGGGAATTCTCCGTCTCTTGCTGTTGCGAGTAGCTGCTGGCCCGTAAGTGGGTTTTCTCTTTATTAGTTTATTATTAGATTATTAGATTTTAGGCCTCCTTTTGTTGTTTAAGGTTTAGTCAATTAATTATTTACTTATGTAATTCACCCCAAGTCCGCGAATTATACCGTGGGATCGGCCCACCGTGCACATGGTGTGCCGATCCCGAAACGGTAGCGTTTAATTATTAATAAAATAAGAGACCGAACATTCGTCGTCTTCTCCAGCCATCTCGTTCAAAAACAGAGCAGAACAAAATTTACAACTTCTGAATTTCTGAGCGATTTCATCTCTACGCCCATAAATCCGTTTCCTTTCAATACTAAATTAAACCTCCATATTGAATTTACATGTGATTGAATCAAATTTCATACTAGTGATTCATTTTAATTTCCGGTGAGTTACGTTCTTATGGTCAATATCCATTGACAAATTTGATTTGCCATTAAATCTAATCAAATCGGTGGAGTTCGCCTGGTCTGCCTTCAAATCGGTGGAGTTCGCCTCTTCTAATCAGTCGCTAGCTAGCCCCAGGGGCGGAACCACCATAGAGCCCGGAGGTGCCCGTGCCCCTCCAGTGAATTATTTTTCTTTTAAATATATATACATATTTTAATTTTTATTAATTTGAGCCCCTGCAGCCCAATCCCAATTCCCTTTTTCTCTTGTTTGTCCAGTTCAATCTCACTTCCCTCTTCCCCAGCAGCCCAATCCATTAAGGCTCAACAGCTCAACTCAAGCCCAGCTTCCCTTTCCCCTTAGCCCCCATATCGCTTCGGCAGTTCGGCGGAATCGGCGTTTCAAACTCACATCAGTCTGCAGCAAGCCATCAACTCTAGCAACTTAGCGAAGGCCGACGGACTGTGAGCACCTCAACGACGGCCGACGGCAACTGTGAGCATCTCTGCGACGGTCGATGGAGACTGACTAGTGATTTCTTTGTTATTGTGCCCCTGCGAGTCACGGGTCCTGGTTCCGCCACTGGCTAGTCCCTTCTGTAAATTTAGTAGTTTAGTTTTTAATGGCTATTCTATTTTCATGAATATTTGGAGATTACTTGTGAAGACTCTCGAACCATCACACTTAAATAAGAAAATGAGCATTTCTGGCATACATGATATGGTGCAATAAAGCTCCACATTAAGGATTTATTTGTTTGGATTAGTATATATGTATATTATTAGAGTTACATCTTCTTATACACGAGTTACATATTTTTATTTGTGAGTTACATCTTATTGTGCACGAGTGACATCATCCTATGTGTGAGTTATGCTTGTATACAATTTCTATAGTTACATTTGATATAATATTGAGTTAATTTTTATATGGGCGAGTTACATAATCTTGTGCACGAGTTACTTTTTTCTATGTGCGAGTTACATTTAGACTTCTCTCAACAAATACTTTGCATACACCTAAGTTAGACTTTCCATCAACGGCAGTTACATTTTCCATAACTTGAGTTACATCACAACATAAAGCACTGCTATTGCAACAAAAGAATCATTTTTTGAGAAACAAAATTTTTTTTGGCAAAAAAACTGATTTATTTGGCAAAATAAGTGATTTTATTAAAGTCATTTTATGGCCGTAACATTAAAAATAGAACATATTCACTATTTAAGGAAGCTTCTCCTATTGAAACAAAAAATAAACACTTTTTCCCAAAAAAAAATAAAGAGTTTTTGGCAAAAATAATGATTTTTTGGGAAAAACAATGATTTTAAGGAAAAAATATTATTTATGGCCTTAATAATAAAAACAAAACATATTCACTCTTTATCTTAAATAATTGAAAAAATAGACTTCTTCTTTTCATTAAAATCAATGTTTTAGATAAGTTACATTTTCGCTTCTTTCTAATTACATTTCTTATCCGGGTGAGTTACATTTCGTTACACACGAGTTACATCATTCTCATACTGGAGAATTAAAACAAAAAAAAAAATTACTGTTCACCCGCGTGAACAGTAACACGTGTATTTGCCCGTGGGAGCAGCATGCTCACGGTGGGCTGCTCCCACGGTATACGGACTGCCCCAAGTCCTAACAGCCTATCATTAATAATTTAATACAGTAAATTAAATTGAAGTTGCAAAAAAATTTAAATTGAAAGTTAAATTTTCTGCTTAAGGCGCGTAAATTAGTTAATACTCTTAGGTAATACTCTTACGGGCAGTTTGGCAGATGGGATACGGTTACTACCCATCTATAAAAATGGTACGTAGTATCTCATTGTAAAAACACAGTAGCATGAATTTCAAAAAAGAAAACAGGGAAAATGTAATTTATGGATGAAAAAACTGCCTTGAGATTTAATGTGGTTTAATTTAGTTTTCAAGTTAAGTACTCCATCTGAACTATAATCATATGAATCACAAAATGACTATAATTTCCTTAGGTTTAAACCCCTTGAAAATTAAAATCAAAACTCAATTGTTTGGTTTGTAATTTAGATTATCTAATAATTAATGATTTGTGTTTGTGTAAAGTACAATTCATAAAGAGTTGCAGAAAGAATCCCACTTTTATTCAGTTGTCCAGTACAAAATAATAAAACCCCGAATTTTCCCCTTGGACCAATCATTACCTTAGACATTCTGGCGGGAGAATGACTTTCCAATGGACCGAATGTTCCAATAACAAACCTGCTAAAACACCCCTTTCATCTGATTGGCTTTTTAAAATCTTTAACCTCATGGCAATTTCATAACGGAAACGTTGCAGGTATGGCTAACTGTGATATAGAATGTTGAATGTGTGTGTGTGTGTGTTCATCTCCATCTTTTTCTATTCATTGTTTTTACTCTAAGATCATATGTCGATTCATGTTAGCTGATCTCAAACTCTTTTTAGACTAACGCTTGCTTGTGGTTGTTGTATGTGTTTGTATGCATAAGCTACTGTAAGTTATCACTGTTGGATATTCATACATATATCAACAAAGCTCCATATGCGATATATATATATAAATATATAATAGTTAAATCCATATAAATCCATGAAATCAAATATGTATGAACTAAGATTAGAACAATACCTTGAGAATTCATTTGCATTAACACTTTAAGAAGACCCGGAATCCAACACGATTGATCGGCCTAACCTTCCAGTGCTATGTACCGTATGAGATGATGCCTAGTCCTACAATAGATGGGATATTTATAGGACTAGTGGAATA